CCCCCCCCCCCCCCCGGCTTCTTTGAAGCAGTTTCTTCCTGTGCTGGTGGAGGAGCGAGAGAGCGACAGAGAGAGCTGACCCAGAGAGAAGGACAGGCTTCGGTTGCTTCCTCCCTCCCCTTCTTTCATTTGTGTCCTTGATCCCCGATCCCAGCAGCATTCACCGAAGGCTTCTTAACATTATATCGGCGTATAACACGCATACATCATTTGCCCCCTATTTTCAGGGGGAAAAAAGTGCGTGTTATACGCCGATAAATACGGTAAGTAATATAAAAATCAAAACAAAACAAAACAAAATATTGAGAATGAAACTGAAACTGAAAGCAAACTCGCCTCTTTCCGGAAGACCTCTTTGCTCTTCTTGGCCAGTTCACTGGAAGTGTCTGCTTCAGCAGTTTTGGGCTTTTTGGAAGACTGGAAAAAGACCGACACAAACAGAATTATTACAGGAAAAAAACCTTGCATTTTGCAAATAAGGAAAGGGTTTCTTCCCCCAATGAGCAAATGGCAACCGAGAAGCCAGAAATTTATAATCGTTTGCTTCGGGATTTGTTCATTTAATCTTTTTTGCTCCCCATCACCCCTGTCAAGAGTTACTTCATTCTGCTTATTCTTTTGTCTGCATTTTCCATTCTCTCCCCTGCCTCTGGCAACAACAAAAACAACAACTTCAGAGCAAGTGTGACTGGAAGCAAGGCAGGGGAGGATTCTGTGACAAAAACTAAGGGGAAATTTAGAGCCACAGAACGTTATATTTGCAGCTCAACAGTGGGGTCCTGGTTACTCTCTGAGCCGAGACGTTTCGTGACCCAACCAGGTAACATCATCAGTGCTTGAAGGGAAAGAGAACGTTCTGATCCGATGGCTGAAGTTTAATGGCAAGCAGTGGCTGTCCAACCACGGCATCTTTAAGACCGGTGAACTTCAACCCTCCAGAATTCCCCCGCCAACCTTACTGGGCTGGGGGATTCTGGGAGTTGAAGCCCACCAGAATTAAAACTGCCAAAATTGGAGACCCCTGGTATAGAGAGTATCTTTCAGGATTTATCTGAGAAGTTCGGGGATTATATCTTTTTTTCTACGAGATTACTGATAATCCTCAGGTTATGATGGGGCTGCTTAACAGCCATACAAAGTTATGACAATACCTCCCAAGGCCTTTGTATGACTCACGCACAGACACCTTACAAGGACTGTGTTTTGAGGGCAGTTTGTGGTGGACCTGCAGTCACACAAACCGTGATTCGCGGTTGCTCCTTTTTTGCCACGGTTTACTTCTGGTTTCCGGTAAAAGGAAAATGCCCGTTGGGAAAACCAGTTTCCCTTAACAAACGCAGTCTGCTTAGCGACGGCAGTGCTTCGCTGAACAGCCACCTCATTTGCTCAACATCCGTCATAAAAACCCACTGCAACTTAAAAATGTGTTCAGATGACGTCTTGACTTATAATGGCAACAACTGGAATCTCTCCTTGAACTTATGACCGGGCTAATTACCTGCCTATAACCCAAGTAGTTATATTACCCGAATAAATCTGCTATGGAATGCACAGAGTCTACCATTAGAGGGCAGTCCTCAACTTACGACCATAATGGAGCCTCCCCATTATAGCCATAGGTCCCAATGGTCATATAAAACAGGTCAACCAAACAACAATCCAATTTGCTCACGAAGGATGCAAACCTTCGGGGGTGGGGTGGAGAGAGAAAAATGTCATAAAACACAGGTTCCACGATGGCAGAACACTGGTGGGTGGGAGGGGAGGACTTCAGAATTGGAAATTCCCTTTTGGGGGATCCTTCGTAAATCTGAGTACTATCTGTAGTTTGCCAGCCGACTTATTTCCTGCTTAATTTTTTTTTAAAAAAATAACTATTTTATTAAAATAAAACAATGCATTAATTTGTTTCCATTATATATATATTTTTTTTTTTTAATAAAATAAAATAAAAACCCTGCCATCACCTGCAGCTTCTCCATTTCCGGTCAAGGGTTAACTTCGAATCTGGGTCAGGCGTTCCCTATTTCGGGCCCGTTATGCATCCGAGCGGCCGCCAAGCCATCCGGGCCGTAACTGGGGAACGACTCGGATTAGAAACCCCACGCTATGCCTATCAGGGGGAGCTTCCCTCCAACTCACTTTCATGGGGTTTTCGTCGTACGTCGGTGTGCCAAGGTCCATTTCGGCTTCGTGCTCCAGGCCGGCATCATCTTCTGGGCTGTCCCAGTTGGGGGGGTCCCATTGGGTTTGCCTGCACAAAGCGGGGGTGTCAGTCCTGGATTCCCCTCCCCCACCCCAAAAAAACCCCCAAAGCCTGAAACCCAGACCGCTGGTGCCGGTTGGGGTTTCCAGGGACAGGCGCTGCCACGTGGCGAATGTCCACAGGCCTTCTTTTCTTCCCTGAGCAGAGGCCCTGCCTTACCTGGTGACCACGTGGTAGTAGTAGATCTTGCCCTCCGGATCACGGGCCGTTTTCCAGTTGGGGGGCAGGACGATGGTTTTGGGCTTGGGAGGGGACGGAGGAGGCAGGTCCAATAGGTTGTTGGCCACTACCAGTTCTGGCTGAAAAGGAGGAGGAGGACAGGGAGGGAAGAGAGGTGAGAAAAGAAGAGAGATCGACCTGCAAAGCAATCATCTTCCAAAACTTCCAATATTTGTGGCCTGCTTTTATAGCAGTGGCAATGAAGACTTATATACCGCTTCACAGGGTGCTTTTACAGCCCTCTCTGAGCAGTTTACAGAGTCAGCCTCTTGCCCCCAACAATCTGGGTCCTCGTTTGACCCACCTTGAAAAAGGACAGGATTCTTTTTAGGAATATTTGCCCTGCCGGGAATGCGAAACACATACTATTAAGGGGAGTGTTTTCAACCTTGGCCCCTTGAAGATAATGTGGACTTCAATTCCCAGAATTCCACAGCCAAACCATGCACGAATCTTCAAGCAATCAAGTTCAGAAATATCGCTGTAAAAGGGCCCTCATCTAACAACTACTCATTCAGCGCCCATTTGAACTGGGGAAGTCAATGGGGAAGCCAGCAGGAAATCAGAACTTCCTGTCATGTGAGGTCCTCATTTAATAGCCCACAAAGTCCCTGCTTAACAACAGCACCCGAGACTGATGAAAGCGTCCTCCCGATAGGTGGGTTGCTCACATGACAGTTTTTCAACTTAGGAATGACGCAATTTCCAGACCCAATTACCATTGTTAAACGAGGACCAAAGAGTCCTTTTTATTCAGATAGGCCCCTGCAAAACAATTTCACAAGTCTGATGGCACCGCGACATGAAAGGAAAGAGCTTCCTCCCGCCTCTACCTGTTGGATCGGCGGGGGCTGTCCGGTGGTGACAATAGTGGCGACGGCAGTTGTGGGTTGCACCACCACGCTCGGAGGGTGAGTGGTGTAAATCTGTTGTCCTTGGATGTACTGAAGACTTGGCTGGGCGTAACTCTGCAACAAAACGGAAGAGCCATTTCCAAGGATTAGTCTGCATTCATATTGTCCTGAATTTACAAAATATCATTTAGTGACTGTTCAGAGCTACAACGGCACTGAAAAAAGAGACTTATGACCGTTTTTCACACTTACGGCCACTGCAGCATCTCCAGGGGCCACGTGATCAAAATTCGGATGTTTGGCAACTGACTCATGTTTATGACGGTCGCAGTGTCCCAGGGTCACGTGATCCCCTTTTGCGACCGCCTGGCAAGCAGTCAATGGGGTAAGGTGGACTTGCTTCACGACCATGTGTCTCACTTAACGGCAGTGGCAAAAAAAGGATATAAAATAGGGCACAACTGTCTGAACCCCCCCGCTTAGCAATGGGAATTCTGGCCCCCGTTGTGGTCGTAAGTCGAGGACAACTGAGAGGTGGTCTCAACAAGCTTTGGGCCCTCCCCCCCCATTCTGAGCGTCTCCCCTACCACCTGGCGGAAGACCGTGTCCAATTCTGCCGCAACTTCACCTGGGCGAGATTACCTGCACGATGGGCTGCGTGGCCTGAGAGTAAGGCGAGGTGACTCCGTAGACCGTTGGGCAGGCCTGTCCTTGGTAATAGATGGTGGGCTGGGACTGGGCCGGAGAGTAGGGGGGCTGCACCGCCACGGTCGTCTGGCTGGAGTCCCAGACGCCGTAGCTTTGTCCCTGGACCGGACCAGGTGCTGCCACGGGCAAGACGGCCACGCCAGGCTCCTGGTGGACCATGGGGTCACTCGGGGCCACGTACTGGGGCGTGGACACCTCCAGGGGGGCTGCTACATGCTGGACCACCGGCACAGGCTGTGAGGTGGCCAGATTGGTCTCCATGGCGTGGCCCACCAGAGTCTGCGAGGGCTCGTAGGAGGCTGGTGAGCACATGGGCTCCATGCTGGGGGTTGGAAGGAGCACCTTGCCAGCATTGGGGTTGCTGGGGTCCACGTAGGCCTGCATGGGGTAGCCTGGGGGGTAACCCATGAACGGGGGGTGGGAGGCCCCGTAGCCCAGGGAGTCGTACGGCAGGGGGGACGCCATGCCCAGGCTCTGCAGCTGCTGCTGCTGCTTCTGTGCCTCGCGCTGGGCGACCTCCTGCTCAAAGAGTTTCCGCCGTTCTTCGGTGGACAGCTTGCTGCGGTCCTTCAGGCGGACCTTCTTCTTCGAACCCGTGGCCAGCGTGTCGTAGCTGCGGGGGGAGAGAGAGAGGGAGGGAGAGGGTGGAGAAACAGGGCTGAAAATCCCAGTGGAAGAGGGCCGCATGCGGCGAATCAAGTGGGACTAGAACTCCCTGGCGCCCAGCCAGCAGCATATCCACAAGACCAAACTGTCTTGTTAAAAAAATTCAAACAGGTTGGACTCCGAGGCACCATAATGCAGGTAGTCCTCGACTTGGAACAGTTCATTTGGTGACTGTTCAAAGTTACAATGGCATTGAAAAAAGGGTCTTATGATTGTTTTCCACCCTTAGGCCACTGCAGCATCTCTGTGGTCCTGTGGTCAAAGTTTTGATGCTTGGCAACTGACCTTTGGAGTGTGCCGGTATTTTTCAACGGGGTAGCCTGATTTGCTTAACAACCATGTTGCTAACTTAACAACCACAGTCATTCACTTAACAACTATGGCAAGAAAGGTTGTAAAATGGGGTTGTAAAACTCACTTAATAAAAGTCTCACCCAGGAACAGAAATTTTGGGCTAAATTGTGGTTGTAAGTCGAGGACTAACTTTATTTTAGGTATCTTGGCAAAGTTGCTTTGTGAAGCCATTCCCCCGTCGACTTCTGGCAGGCCTCGTGTCCAGGGAGGCTATCATTAACATAAAACCCACACAGTCTTTGCAAGTGATTAAATAGAATTTTAGGCATTTTTTAAATTTGATTCTTCCCAGTACACGCAGTGTTTTTAGTATTAAAAAAAAATATTCTTTACAAGGATTGCTTTATATTGTCTTAGGAATGGCTGTTTTGAAGCACGGGCAACATAAAAAACCCTTTCAACCTGTTTTATATGCAGGTAGTCCTCAAGTTATGACTGTAATGGAGGTTGTTAATTGAGTGAGGCTGTTGCATGTGTACCTAGCTTAATGTCTCCAATGTGGCTGGCCGTTGCGGTCATTAAGCAAGGCGACCAGGATCACTGTGTTCGCCCTCCTGTTAAATAAATGGTCGTAACTTTGAGCACTGGCTGCCAAGTCCCTTCGTTCAGCGCCACCACAATTTCTGCCGCTGAATGAATGATTGTAAGTTGAGGACTACCTGAAAACGTTAACGGAAAAGTAGGTTGAACCCTTCCCAACTTGCCGGTCATCCGGTCGCTTGGTGCCTCGTTCGTAGGCCGACGGGGGGGACAAGGACTCCCTCCGTTTTTTCTTCTCTTTGTTCTGCTTTTCCGGCTCCCGTTCTCTGGTCTGGTTTTTGAGACCAGCCGGGGGGTCTCGGCCCATCGTCTCTCTCCCATGATCTGGTAACAGGACGGAGAAAGGTGGTTTACAGGAGAGACATTTCGTTAACTACGAGGCCAGATCTAACCAGCATTGGGAGACGAGGTGGAAAAAAAAAAAGAAGAAAATTAATCAAGACAGCCAACCTGCAAAGTTGCCTTTTGATGAGATGAGTGGCAAAATAAAAATGAAATAAATAAATAAATAAAACATTCATAAAACCACATTCTTTTTCTTAACTGAATGGTTCAGAATACTAATAAACAGCAGGTTAGTGTTTAGAAATACAATTTCTCTCTCCACACCTCCTTCTCTCTCTCTCTCTCTCTCTCTGTATTTCTATCTATATCTATCTATCCATCCATCCATCCAAATCTACTTATCTCCATCCATCCACCTATCTTTCCATCAGTTCATATCAGTCAGTCAGAGGCCCGTTCTCCTCCTCTTTCACAATGGTGACAATCTGTCTTCCAGACCTGGCTGTGGGCTTATAATTTAGCATTTCACCATCTTGGCTGCATCCATCTTAAAGCTGCTAGGGTTAAGAAACGTTGGTCTGGAAAGCTTCGAAGAGCGACACCTTTGCATACTTACCGCTGCTCTCCTTTTCCACTTGGCTCTTCTTTGGGATCCGGTAGACCTCCTGCAATTAGAAACATAAAAGGCTAAGGATCAGCTGTACCTTTAAGCAACCTAGTATTATTGATATATATATATATATATAT